AACCCTCAGCATCACCCCCACCCTCACCTCTAAACTAACCCTAACCCTAACCTAACCCTCAACCTCACCATCACCCCCACACTTACCCTCACATAACCCTAACCCTCACCCTCACCTTCACCCCCTAACCCTAACCTTAACCCTCACCCTCATCTAACCCTAACCCTAACCCTCAACCTCAACCTAAAACTCACCCCCACCCCCACCCAAACCCTCACCCTCACCCTCACCCCCTTAACTTTAACCCTAACCTTAACCCTCACACTCATCTAATTTTTTATTAGGGTTTTGAAAAAATTAAACTATATAACTATAATCTTAATTTTTTTATTAGGGTTTTGCAAAAATTAAACTATATAACTATAATCTTAAATTTTTATTAGGATTTTGATTTTTTATTAGGGTTTTGATTTTCTATAATTATTTGGTTTTGCAAAAATTAAACTATAAACTATAAGATTGAGGGGGGAGGGGAAAGGGGGTACCTTGAGAGAGAGGGGGGAGAGAGATCGACGGCGGCGGCGGCGGCTCCACCCAACGGCGCGGACGACAGAGGGGGTGCGCGGGTCTGGAGAGAGAGAGGGCGGAAAGAGAGGGGGGGGGCCCCGCGGCCCGGCGGGTCTGCGGAGGAGAGAGGGGGGAAAGAGGGTGGGTGCTGGGCGCCTGTGTTCTGAGATCACCAACGGGCAGCGGCCGGCAGCGACGAGGGTGGGGGCGTCGGGTCTGAGGTTGGGGGGCGAGGGTCTGGGAGAGAAAGAGGGGGAAAGAGAGGGGGGGGTCTCGGCCAAAACGGGCGCGGGGTGCCCAAAATTTTGGGCGCCCACGCCCGAAATTTTTTTCCCACCCAAAACTTTTAGTGACGGATTGTTCCGTCGCTAAAAATTGTTTTAGCGATGGAAAATCCGTCGCTAAATCCTTATTTACCGACGGAATTGTAGATTGTCGTTAATATTTTAGAGACGGAAAAGTTTAGTCGCTAAAACAACATTTTCCGTCGCTATAACTATATTTTCCTACGGTTAAATAGCGACGGAAATTCCGTCGCTATAAGTCATGTTATAACGACGGAATATTCCGTCGCTAAATATCCGTAGTCAATAACCCATTTTCTAGTAGTGAGAAGAGATCATTGCCCGAGTCAGAGCTGAAGAAGCTAAAAAGTCAAAGCCGCAAGCGTAACGCAACCAAGGCAATGCTCCTAGATCCAAGAGAAAGGAGACTCTGGCCGCCGATACCAACACCCGAGCACCACTTACGAAGTAGGGCAAGGCATCAAATTAACAGAGGACACCCAAAAACAGTACTCTTTCAAGGAGGAACATGTGGACACCCTATTCTAGCTACTTCCGAAGAACAACAACCTAAAACTTCCTGAAGTGAAGAAATATGAAGAAGCAGGGAAAGTAGATGATCCTAACTACTGCTGGTATCATAGAATGCTAGGACATCCAACGAGGAGATGTTATATCTTCAAGGACATTCTGCAACACCTGGTCCATACTAATGTACTCAAGCTGAAACCAGAACATAAGACCATGTTCATCAATTTGATATCGGTCCAGTTCAGAGATTTTCCTCCTGTAGTAGTAGTGGATGGTGTTATCCATATCCCTAAGGGAGAAATACACATGAAGAATGCTGATTCACATGGTCAGAAGGATAAATGTTTGGTACCCTTCACTACTCCAAAAGGAGAAATCATGTGGGTCCATCCAGACTTAATTAAAGATCAACAGTGGACAAGTGCATCAACGAAGAAGAAGAGAGGCAATGCAAAGTCATCCAATATGATTAGCCCCTCTATAAATGAGAATGATGATCATCTCAAACCTCTTACGGACTCGGAAGAAGAGAGGATTGTCCTTGCAACAGATCAAAGAGATAACCCTGGCACCCGATCAGGGAAAACATATTTGAAAAACTATAGCCAAGATGCTCTAGGAGTAAAATAACAAGCCTAGGAGGTTAGGGGCTCTTCTCCTAAGAAGACAACCAATAAAGGGAAACAGAAAGAGCTTCGCTTTAGCCAGAACCTTCTTCAAGAAGAGACTGGAGGATCGAACACTCCCTTCTAATTCAATGTCATAGTTTAATTAGCTAACATCCCTATGAGGATCACCTTGTACGAGCTCCTACGATTGTCCAAGACCACAAGAGAAGCTCTAAATGAATCTTTAACAGACACGGAGAGCTTTATTACTCAAGTTGCTCTAGTTCTAGAAACTTCTAAGGGACAATCTTGTGTATAGTGTCTACAAGCCGCAAGAAGTCTGCCATTTATATTATTCACTCATGAAGACATGAAGATTAAACACAAACATGATAGACCTCTGTATTATACGAGGTATATCGGTTCTTCTGAGATCAGCCGTGTACAAGTTGATCCGAGCTCGGCACTTAGCATCATGCCATATCGGGTCATGCAAGTTCTAAGGATTCCTCTACACCGGTTGAACTCCACTCAGACGACCATCTTCAGCTTTAATGCCAACAGCACATGACCCTTGGGTAAAATCAAACTCAGGTGCCAAATCAGAGATCTCAAGTCCGAAGTGACTTGTTACATCATAGATGCGGACACGTCTTATAATTTGTTGTTAGGACGACGTTGGACTCATGTGAATCACATTGTCTCATCTACTCTTCATCAGGTCATAAAATATGCTGACGAGGAGGGAGAAGTCAGAACTCTGATTGCTGAGAAGCAACCCTTCAAAGGGGTGGAGAACTTTCACACCAACTCAGTCTTCTATTTAGATTTCCAAGAGCCTGAGCAATCAAATGTGGCCACTGACAGTTGAAATGAAGCTGACATATAGCCCGATCCTGAGGAAAGATTGTCCATGGGAGTTGAATTTTGATGTAATAGGTCAGAATGAAGATAATAACAATGTACTGAGTGAGGGCGAGTGGTACATTAATGAAGATTTCAATTTGGCGTACTTGTCAGATGTGTCCTCTGAATATGAACAAATAGAGATTGATACAGATACACGTATTGATTCATGGTGCACATTGTACACCGAGATATCACTCACTTTGCCTCTAAAATCATCCTTCACCACATTCGAAGAGATGGAAGATGTGCAGAAGGCTTTCTTCATGATCACGTCCAAAAGGAAAGGGCAAAAGCCAATCTACTTTGGTAAGGTCAAACCTGAATTACTCAAGCGAGAGAGTTCAGAGGAAGACCGTGGAGTCCCCCAATTCTATTATCATGAACCTAACTCTATCAAATTGATGATAAGGATGGGTTACGACTTTGGTAAACAGGAAGGTTTAAATTTTAGGAAAGGAAGACGAGCGTCGATTCGGCTTTCTACTCCAGAAGAAAAACCTCGTGATTATTACCATAAAACTAAAAGAGGATTAGGTTATGTCTCAACTCATCCCTTTTCAAAAGATGAGATTGGCAACTGTCTGTGTCAAGATCACTCATCCGGAACATCCTCATCGAAATCCGATGTAAGTGTCGGAGCAATATTTAAAAGCATGTCCATGAACACGGCTTCAGTTAGTCATCCGGTCGAAGATGCAGAGGATGACCAAGAATTGATCGAATCAATCAGTGATCCTTAGATCAAGCACCTTAACATCTTATGGGATACGTGTTTTGAACAGCACGAACTGCCCACCGAAGATAAGGTGATCCAGGTCAACATGGGGAGGATGAATCTGATCCTAAGCGAGAGCTTATCACCTCCCAAGAAAGAAGACCTCATATCTCTCATCAGAGAATATATAGATGTCTTCGCTTGAAATTATAAAGACATGCCTGGTCTTGATCCCAAGTAGCCATGCATCATCTTAACATTGATTCGGATGTGAAACTCGTCAAACAAGAACAACGCCAGTTCCGTTCAGAGATCATGGAAGTAATTGAGTCGGAAGTTAAAAAGCTTATCGACTCAGGCTTTATCAGATAGGAACAACATCCCAAATGGGTCGCTAATATTATTCCTGTGCCTAAGAAAAATGGCAAAGTTTGAATTTGCATCGACTTTCGTGACCTAAACGCTACATGTCCGAAAGATGAATTTTCACTCCCCATCACAGATGTCATGATCGATAATACTTATGGGTATGAGAGGATATCTTTTATGGATGAGTTTTTAGGATATAACCAGATTAAAATATACCCTGAAGACGAAAAGCATACTACTTTCAGAACACCCATGGGGTGTATTATTATACGGTAATGCCCTTCGGATTAAAGAATGCCGATGCAACCTATCAGCGTGTCATGAATACAATCTTTCACGAACATCTATGCAAAAAGATAAAATGTTATGTGGATGATATTGCAGTAAAGAGCCAAAACAGAGGTGATCGTCTTACAAATCTAAAGACAATGTTCGACATCATGCGAGCACATCAACTGAAGATGAATCCAACCAAATCGTTCCTGGGGGGCCTCTAGCGGTAAATTCCTATGATTCATAGTCACATCTAAGGGAATTTCTCTCGACCCAGAAAAGGTTCGTGTTATCTAAGAAATGTCACCTCTAAGAAATATCAAAGAGCTCAGAGGTTTGTAAGGCAGATTGGCGTACATCCGAAGATTCATATCAAACCTCTCAGGACAATGTCAGCCCTTCACTAAGATGATGAATAAAGGAGTTTCATTCATTTGGGATGGAGATTGCCAAAAGGCATTTGAGGAGATTAAAAGATACTAGGGAATCTTTCTGTTATATGTGAGGGCCATGAATCATTCCCTTGGAGCGTTATTAGCTCAGAATAATGACCAAGGACATGAGCAAGAAATCTACTACCTTAGCAGAACCATGATTAGAGCCGAACATCGATATAATCTGGTGGAAAAGGAGTGCCTTGCTTTAGTATTTTCTATCTAGAAGATATGACACTATTTGGTCGGGCAATCGATTCATATCATCTCCAAAGTAAATCCTTTGAGAATGCTCATGATAAAGTCGTCTTCTCTGAATTGTCGTCTAGTGAAATAGGCGATCCTCCTATCGTAGTATGACATGTAATTTATGCCTCAGAAGGCTATTAAAGGTCAGGCTATGGTAGATTTCTTAGCCGACCATCCAGTATCTGAATCATCCAAATTATATGAAGATTTAGCAGATGAAGTAGCCGAAGCTTGTGCAACTCAAGAAGTTATACGAGGTTAGAAGTTGTTCTTTGACGGTGCATCCAGAGCAAACCCTAATAGAGGAATCACCGTTGGCATAGGGGTGGTACTTGTATCCCCAGGCGGTCATATAATCCTAAGAGGATACTCTCTAATCGAGCCATGTACCAACAATGTAGCAGAGTACAACGCTTTGCTACTAAGAATACAATTGGCTGAAGAGCTTAACATTCGACACCTCGAGACTTATGGTGATTCTCAGCTTATTGTGAATCAAGTCCAAGGAGAATATAAAGCACGTAATGACGACTTAGTCCCATATCACTTCACCGTGCTAGAGTTAGCTCAGAAGTTTGAAGGCTTTTTCATTGAATACATCCCAGAAGCCCAGAATACATATACGGATGCTTTAGCCTCATTGGCAACTTATCTAGCATTGCCACCAAAAGAAGAGACGATGATATTCGTCATTGGTCGTGACTTGTACCACCCAAAGATTCCCTTAGAACACTGCTCAAATGAGACTATAGTGGAGATCGCCTGTGCAATTTTAATTGAGCTAGAATCCAGAGATTGGCGATTTTTGTATATTGACTACGTCTTGTACATGATACTACCTGATGATGCTAAAGAAGCGGCCGCCATCAAACGAAAGGCTCTTCGATTCTATTACGACACGGTCTCTCAAACCTTGTACCATAAATTACATGATGGAGTCTTACTTTGTTACCTCTCTAGAAGAGAAGCACAGGAGGATCTCAGGGAAGCTCATGATAGGATGTGTGGAGCTCATCAACCTGGAGTTAAGTTAGGAGACTGTCTCCGACGAATTGGCTACTATTGTCCAAAGAAGTTTTCAGATGCTGTTGACTATGCTAAACATTGTCACGCATGCCAAATTCATAGTGATTTCATTCATCAGGCACTAGGGAACCTGCACCTAACATCAGCATCTTGGCTATTTGAGATGAGGGGAATGGATATTGTTGGACCCATCACTCTGCTAATGGCCAAAGGATATCGGTTCATCTTGGTAGTGACCGATTACTTTTCCAAGTGGACGGAGCCAATTCCGTTAAAAGAAGTCAAAGCTTCAAACGTGATCAAGTTCATCAAACATCACGTCATCTACCGTTTTGGTGTACCGAGACGAATAGTCCATGATGATGGAACTCAGTTCGTTAGTCATGGTTTTCAGAGATTCTACGACAAGTTTAGGATCCAAAGTATCGCATCGATGACATAATATCCACCAGCCAATGGCCTTGCTGAAGCGTTCAACAAGATTATTGTGAAGCTTCTCAAGAAGTTTGTCTTCAAGAACCGTCGCGATTGGGATGAAAAACTTAGCAAATGTTTGTGGGCCTACCGCACAATAGTGAAGACCCCTACAAAAGCCACCCCATTCTCTTTTGTATATGGTTGTGAAGCCGTATTACCGTTGGAAATATAGATCCCGTCTCTGAGAGTCACCCTTGCGACCAGGATGACGGATGAAGAGCAGCATCGATTGTATTTTCAAGAACTTAAAGTATTGGATGATAGGCAACTTTAGGCTCAATAACAGATCGAGTTGTATCAAGCTCGAATTTTCAAAGCCTACAACAAGAAGGTCAAAGAACGTATCTTCAAGAAAGGCGGTTTGGTCCTAGTTGTCAGACGACCTATGGTGATGACACATAAGACCAAGGGGAAGTTCAATCCTAAATGGGAATGACCCTTCATAATAGAATCAGTCTATTCAAATGGAGTATTATACCGTCTCATCAACTAGAAAGGCGACAGGCTCATGATGCCTATTAACGGGAAATTCCTCAAGAAATATTACATGTAGGCCATGAAGTCCCCTTTTCCTACCCAGCCAAGTCTGAGATGATGAATTAACTTTCCCCAGACTGGGGGTTGGTTATTCAGGATTCATTGAATAGAAAAGTAGCAAATCATGTTAACTTTTCCCAGCAAGTCTGAGATGAGAAAACGATTTTATTTAGACTGGGGGTTGATTACTCGGAATTCATTTGAATGGAGAGTAATAAACCATTTTAAATTTTCCTCATCTTGTATGTCATCAAGTTAACATTACACCTCGGTTAATTGAAATTTTATGGAATCATTCTAAGTGATAATAAAGAGAATTTTTGATTTATGCTAAGTTAATATTACACCTATGGCAGTTTTAATGTTTTCATTATCTCAAATCAAAACATAACAAGGAAAAGGCAATGAAAAGCATTATGATATTACTTTCATTCAACATTGTTAATCTGATATAGAGTGACAATACTTGGCATGAAAATAATACAAAACAAAAAATTTTATCCCCAGCTAAAAGCAATATAAGGTTCAAGCACCAAGGCTCATCAATTTGAGGGATCTGAGCTTGGACTTAAACAAAGACAGCTTCTTCTTATGGGCCGCTCGAACTCGTTCAGCCACTTCATTCCTAAGTTCCTCATTAGTAGGACCAGTAGCGGAGGTGGTTATTTCAGCTTGGAGTTGATCATGCTGCTTCTGCAAAATCACGATTTGGTTCTCTGTTTTAGATAAACTCTTGCGAAGGGTTTCCTGATGGTGCACTTGTGAGATTCCAGCTAGAGAAAGAGCTTGGTCCACTTCAGATTCCAAATCGACGTGTTGTAAATCTATAAAGGCTCTTAATTCCGCTTCCAAGAGGATAATGCTCTCTCTGCAACGTTTAGTCCATTACACGTTGCCCAAGCTCTCAATGCTATCTAGGTAGCTAGTCAGGAGAGGCTTGTGTTAGACCCTAGAGGGGGGTGATTAGGATCTTATGCTAATCTAATCCGATTTTATGCTAATTAAAACTAATAATTGTTGGCCCTATAGTTTTGATGATGATTTGTCAAACAAGTTATCGCTAATATATTTTCTAGTCTTTGTTGTTGTGGTTTTTCCTCCTTACAGGTAATTCAACACACGACAATCAAGAGTTAAAGATTCAAGTTCATGTGTGTGCATTAACAATTGGTATCAGAGCTTGGTGCTCTTTGATTTAAGGTCTAATCGCCTTGAGTTAAAGATCCAAGTTATCGTATTTGTGCTAATCTATTTTTGATTACTTTTTGCTTCTTGCATATAATCTTTATGGATATGTATGACGCATCTAGTTTAGGCTATGCTATTAATGTTGCTCCTCGTTTGGATATTTTTCCCTATGCTCAATAGTGTGTTAGATTCAAACTTTTTGTTCAATCTAAACAATTCGATTTATGGAAAATTATTGAGGATGCCTATGTTGTTCCCATTTTGAAAAAAATCCAAATGGAGTGAAAATGATAAAAGATTGTTTAATATGAACAAGCTTTTGTTAGAATATTTGCTTAAAGCTTTTCACTCTTCCTTTTCTAAAAAAATTGCTAATTTTGATAGTGCTTACGCCTTATGGAAATTTATTGAAGCACATGAAGGGGACTTAGAGGCCATTCAACAAGCGTTGGAAAATCCCGCTTTGAATTCTCAAGAAGCCTCATCTCCATGTACAATACCACTAGGTGATAACCCTAATGAGGTATGCGATCTTGACAACGATGATATTATTACTTTTGATGAACTTGCTCTTGAGTTTGAAAAATTACACAATTGCTATATTGATGTAAATAGTAAGTATGTTGATATGAAATCCATTCATGAAACACTAGGTACTAAGTTTAATTTCATTGCAAATAAAAATATAATTCTTAAAGAATGTAATGAAACTTTGAGATTGGAAAATGCTAGTTTGCTTCATGAAAAATATGATGTCATGTTAGAAGTAGATAAGTTAAAATCTATGATAAATAATCATGTTTATCCTACTTCTAGTAGCAATGCTTGTATGCACAATGATGAGTTGAATCAAATGAGGAAACGCATATTTACCTTAGATTCAACACTAAACACTTGTATTGCTAATAATAAAAAACTTATGGACTTGTGTGCAAAATTCAATGTTAATTCTTCTAAGAAACTTATTCACTATGCACACACGTATGAAAAAATTCATAAATGTTTTATTTGCGGTCTTAAAGGCCATTTAGCTCAATTTTGTCATAATGCACAAAAAATTAACAAGCCTATTCATGATTGTGCATCCCATCAAGCTTCTTCATCACATACACAAGTACACGCACATAGTGTAAATCATAAACATGCTCATGTGTATAAATGTGATTATTGTGGTCGTCTTGGTCATTTGGCCATGTTTTGTTTTGATTTGAAAAGAAATTCTCGTTTGTAAAATAATTACAAAGAAAAATCTATTTTTGCAAATGAACCACGTGCAAATCATTTCGGTCAATGCAAACCATTCAAACCCCTACATTGCACAAATTGCAATCGCATGGGTCATGTTTACGATTTTTGTTTTGACCGTATCGGTGCACAAAATACGCCTAAGCGGGTTCATAACCCTAAGGCCTTGGATTTACATGATAGGGGTCATGTCCCAAATTTCAGTGGTACCAAAATGATTTGGATACCAAAATGAGTTTTATTTTATTTTATAATTATCGTTATGATTTTTTTTGTTTTATGGTTGTTTTTTGAATTTTAAAATAGTGATTTTGTTTTTATTAATCTAAAATAAAATATTTTCACGATTTAATAGCTAAAAGCTTTTTATATATATTTATATATATTATAGAACAATTTTCTTAAAGGTCCAAACTGAATATTTTCTAAAAATCCAGTTTTACAATATTTTTGACATTATTTCTCTCGCGGTCGACTGCCACGGTCGAGCGTGAATGTTTCTGGAATTTGTCACGGTCGACCACTACGGTCGACCGCAAGAAAAATTTTTTTGTTTCGATTTCATTTTCTTATCGGGTTTCGGTTTTTATTTGATAATTTTCTCAAACCTGATTCATCATCACCATTGATCTCATTTATAACCAGATCCAGACCGTCCTTTCTTCTTCTCTAAGATTCAATCCTCCTCATTTCCCCCCAATTTGATTCTTTCCCAAAATTCCCAGTTCTTCCCACGGTCGTTCGCAGCTCCTCTTCGATCGACCGCGACCATCTCTTCATCAATTTCCTGTTGAAAATTTGTTGGGTAATCTCTCATGTCTTCCCTCTTGTTTCCATTCTCTCTTAGGGTTTCATTGCCTATTCTAGGGTTTTTCTACTTCAATTTCTGTCTTTTTATATCTGCCAAACCCTAGTTATTTCAACCTAACAATTGGTATCTGACATTATGCCTCCTAAGAAGAGATCTAAGACGGAGGCTAGTTCCTCATCTTCCATTGCCTCTCATTATGAGGAATTTCAACTATTCAAACCCCTAATTAAAAAATATAGGGAGCTTTGTAAGTTGAAAAATCTATCTAGTAGATATATAAAATACGAGGAATTAGTTATCTACAATATTCATGAAATTCTATTTGTTGTTGGTTTGCATGATCTATTAGATGTGGAACATAAAGTTCCTTATTACCCATTCCTCGTCTATTTGTTTTATGCAAATCTGTCTGTCACCACTTCTGCTTATGGTATTTAAACCATCACCACATCTGTTAAGAACATTCAGATCTCATTTTCTGCTGACGAGCTTGCGGGAATCCTTAAGATCCCGTCAAGTGACGTCGAGCTCATGTCTATCGAACACACCGATCAGGCTGTGAACGATTCTATGTTTAAACCCGGTTGCACCTACCCTATGAACAACAAATCTCTTAATCCTACTGCTAAAATCATTGCTCGCATTATTGCTCAAAATCTTATTCCTAAAACCGGTAGTTTTGATCACTTTGCCCCTGATAAGGTTAATGCTGTTTATGCCATATTTGCCAAAATAAAAGTGGATTGGGCAAATGTTTTTCTTAAGAACATGGCATGCAAGCATTACAAATTTCTTCCCTTTGGTTGCTTCATCACCCTCATTCTCCAACACTTCGGTGTTGCTCTATCAAATGAACCCAAAGTTAACCCAAGTAAGGAGTACTTTAATAGAGTTTCTCTCTCTCGTATGCGTATTTCAGACTCCTTATCTGATCCTGCTAAGCCATCATCTTCCCGTTCTCGGTCTAGAGCTTCTACCTCCTCCACTTCTGATATTTGTGCCCGCTGCTAAGCCATCATCTTCCCGTTCTCGGTCTAGAGCTTCTACCTCCTCCACTTCTGATATTTGTGCCCGATTGGATCGTCTTGAGACTCAGGTCTTCTAGAGCTTCTACCTCCTCCACTTCTGATATTTGTGCCCGATTGGATCGTCTTGAGACTCAGGTCTCAACTATTCAGAAGGAC